AGAGTATAAATCAGTACAAAGTACTTGCTTGGTGTACTCTGCCAGGCTCTTCATTCGGCACGTGTGTCCTGGTCTTCACCAGTCAGATTCAGGAAGACCATAAATATCAGAAGCACACACAGACTTAGGTGCTTGAAGAAAAGAAGCAGTAATCTGGGCCGAGGAAGCTATGGTAGCAAGGCTCTGAGTGGGGCTGGCTCTGTGGGGTCAGCGTGCTGCACTGAGCACTGAAGGGTCCAGGCAGCTTTCCAGGTGGCCTGGTGAAGCACACCCCAGGCAGGCGACCTGGGCAGAGTCAGGGAGGGCCCAGCTGGGCGTCTCAGGAACAGCAGGTTGGCAGGGTAAGGGTGGAGCTGTGCGGAGGGTCCTGAAGCCCAGCCAGCATCAGGGTTTGCAGAGCAAAAGTGTCACAGTCTAGTGAGCCTTCGAGACACTGGAGTGCTTTTCAAGCCCCGAGCAGCTTCCCGAGGCCTTTATTTAAGCGAGGTGATCGAGCACCGCTGCTAATCAGCCTCCACTTCCTCCCCAGCAAAAAAGGGAGAACCTGCCCCCGCTGTGCCTCATCCCCACAGTGACGTCACCACGGGAGGAGCAGCAGCTCCTGGCCAGCACCTCCAAGGTAAGGCGTGGAACCCTGTGGGCTGGAGGGGGGCTCAGCCGTGCTCGCTCTCCTGACTCCACTCTTGCCTCCCCTCCAGCCCGTGGTGAAGCTGCTGCACAACCGAAGTAACAACAAGTACTCCTATACCAGGTGAGCGCTGTGGGGCGAGGGCGTGTCTGTGTTCACACGGCAGAGGCCTAGCGCACAGCTCTGCTGCCCAGGCGGGACTGTGGCCAGACCGAGAGACCACAGAATGCCTACCTGGTGAATGCCCTGTCCTACCTGTACCACCTGTCATCAGTAAGTGAAGTTTAAGTCAAGACTGATAGTGGCTAGCATCAGCTAGTTCCTTATTTCCCAACAGGACTGGTCTCAGCGTTAGCTTCCCCTCACTCCCAATGGTCTGAGGAAGTGTTAGTCTCCGTCTAGAGATATGGTGGCACAGGAGCTAAAGTAACCTGCCTAATGTTGCCCAGTTAAAATGTGGCAGAGCTGGGGTGCCTGGTGATAGCCTGAGGGCCTGCAGCAGGTGCCTCTGCTGTGCAGGGATTTGCCCAGCAGAGGCTTCCCTTCTGAGGCCTACACAGTTGGAAATGCCCTGCTGGGCAGGGCTGGAGTGCTGGGAATCTGGGCCCCGCTGAGGGATTACCTAAGGCCTGCTGGCCCCTGGTCCTCAGCACTTCAGATGACAACTTACTGAAGAACATCGAGCTGTTTGACAAACTAGCCCTGCGCTTCCATGGGCGGCTGCTCTTCCTCAAGGATGTCCTGGGTGACGAGATTTGCTGCTGGTCTTTCTACGGGCAGGGCCGAAAAATCGCCGAAGTGTGCTGCACCTCCATAGTCTATGCTACGGAGAAGAAGCAGACCAAGGTCAGAGGGGGTCAGGGAGGGCTGGGAGGTGGGGCCCTGGACAGAGGCGGGTCAGCAGGTCACGCAAGGGAAAGATCTTTTTGGTGGGCATCAGGGACTAGAGTTCTAGGTCATGGCTTTGTAGCTTGGGAAGGTCACCTCATTGAAGTGATCTCAATTTCTCTATGAAAGGAAGCTATTAGATTAGTGCCAGGTTCTGTTTTGCATGACCATGGTTTTGGTGCTGGGGATTGAACCCAAGGCCTTTTTTTAGAGCACGGTTTACTTATTTGCTTGGCTTTGCCATCCCCCGTTTTTTAAGGATTTATTTATGTGCATAAATGTTTTACCTGCATGTATATAAGTTCACCATATATGTGCCTGGAACTTGTGGAGGGCAGAAGAGAGCATTAAATTAATGGAATTCAAGTTACGTATGGTTGTGAGCAACCAGGTGGTGCTGGGAAATGAACCTGAATCCCCTGCGAGAGCAGCAAGTGCTGTTAACCACAGAACCATCTGGCCAGCTTTGTAAAGCAGGACTCAATGTGAACAGTGGAGTGGGTTCAAAGCTGTTTGCAGCTTCCAGTATAGCATGCAGGTTTGGAAGCATGTATGCTTTTTCTGTATGGAAAATCCACAGAGCTGGGTCCATTGTGCATGTAATCCTAGCACGCAAGAGATTGAGGAAGGAGGAGTATGACTTAAAGGCTATCTTGGGCTGCATAGTAAGACCCTATCTCGAAACCTGTCCCCCTCAAAAAAAAAAAAAAAAAAAAAAAAAATCCATGCTTCACTTTGGAATCTCAGAAGGTCCATTACGAAGAGCAGGTATTTGTTTTTACAGTATTTCAGATGGAATTCAGGACCTCATGCAACCAAGCTAGTGCTGTACCACTGAGCCACTTCCCCAAACCGTTTGCTTTTTCACTTTAAGACAGTCCCGCTAAGCTGCACAGGCTGGCCTTGAACTTGCAATCCTTCTGCCTCAGCTTTGTCAGTAACTAGAATTATAAACTTAGGTTCTTAAACATCTCAGGATAGGACAGGCATGGTAGTGCACACCTTAAGTCTCAACACTCTGATGCAGAGACAGACAGAGCTCTGTAATTTCAAGGGGCTGCATAGTAAAATCTTGTCATTAAAGAAAAAACTGAACCAGAACCCTCAAGCTCATGCTTCTGAGCTTGTGCTGTGAATGTGGTAGCCACTGGGGGCTATTTACAGTGCCCAGAGCTGGAGAGATGGCTCTGGTTAAGAGCACTGGCTGCTCTTTCAGAGGACTCCGGTTTGCTTCCCAGCACACACCGGGAGGCTCACAATGCAGTCCCAGGGGATGCAGTCCCAGGGGATCCAGCACCCTCTTCTGGCCTCCAGCAGCACTGCATGCACCATGCACATAATGAAGAGACAAGCACCCATACATATAAAAATTAATTAGTTCAAATTTAAAACGTCTCAGTACCCTGTGTTAGGCACTGACATAGACTCCAAGCCACAGACACAGCGCATTGCGCAGAGTGCAAGTCCCTTCTCAGTATTGTGGGATGAGGAATCTTGCCCTTTTCCCTGTCAGCTAATGAACTTACCTTTCGGATCCAAACCACATACCTTTTCTCTTTGGATACCTTTGCTCATGAAATTGCAATGCAACTGCCCTAGACAAAATTGGTCAGACTCCTTTTTTAGCTGCACAAAGTGCTGCAGCTCATAGAACACTGGATGCAGAGCAATGCTGTCCCCCTCCCCCAACGTCCCCTAGCTGCTATTAGCCTGGTGCTTGTCACTTAAGTGGAGGTACTGAGAAACTTTGATCAAAGGCATGGGATATACCTCAGCTTCCAGGAGTTTTTTCCCCCCTGCAATTAGGAAGCTAGGAAGACAGAAATGATTGGAATGCAGCTTAAGAAGAGGGTGTGGCACAGAACTAGTTCAGGGTGCATGAGACTCCAGGTACAGTCCGAAGTACTGCAGAGACGGAAAGCTACATTACAGCCCACCTGCACTGCCCGGCAGAGCACCATTTCCCTACCATTCCCCTCCGTTTTTCTTTCTTCTTTTTTTTTTTTAAGATTTATTACGTATAGTGTTCTGCCTGCATGTACACCTGTACACCAGAAGAGGACACCAGATCGCATTACAGATGGTTGTGAGCCACCATGTGGTTGCTGGGAATTGAACTCCCGGACCTTTGGAAGAGCAGCCAGTGCCCTTATCCTCTGAGCCATCTTTCCAGCCCCTCCCTCTGTGTTTCATCATCACTCTGTCTTGGTATTTGAGACATTCTTGTCTTTCTGCTGCTCTTCACTCTGCTTTCTCTAGCTATCTGCCTCCCTCTCTCAAGTTGGTAAAATACCGTATTCCCAGCAAGGCCTTGCCTGAACTCCCTCCTGGAAGATGAGCACTCCGGGAAAGGCCATTCTCGTCCCCCTTTCCTTCTGACTTTCTGCATAAAATGTCAACATCTGATTTAACGTCTGTTTAGGAAGAGGGAACCTGGGCCCTGCTCTAGACGTCCAGCATGCTGAGGGCAAGCTTTAGTTACTGCTGTTATATTCCGGATGTGTAGAGCAACCCCTGGGAGAGTGGCAGGTTCTCGGGGCTTACTAAACAAAAGAGCATCCTGAGAGACGGGGCACTAGGGAAGAAAACCAGCCTAACTGCCTCCAGGGCCTGGAGGGGAGCCCACAGGAGCCCTGGGAAAGCGCTGTGGGTTGCTGGCCTTTTGCAGGTGGAATTTCCTGAGGCTCGGATCTTTGAGGAGACACTGAACATATTAATTTATGAAACTCCCCGTGGCCCAGATCTGGCTCTCCTGGAGGCCACAGGGGGTGCCGCTGGAGGTGGTGGGACAGGCCGAGGGGATGATGAAGAGAACCGAGAACACCGTGTCCGGAGGATCCATGTCCGCCGCCACATCACCCATGATGAACGTCCTCATGGCCAACAGATTGTCTTCAAGGACTGATCTTTGATCGCTCGCCGGCCTTCCTCTTGCTTCTGGGACCCAGTCCCTCTCTTTGCCCCGGCTCTGCTGGCCAAGTCGTGGGTCTGTTCTCTGTCCCTTCATTGCATGCTATGTTCAGTGAGGCCCTTTCCAGTCATTGCCACTCACTGCTAACAACACGGTACATTCCAACATTCCACTCTGGTGGGCTCTTCAGAAGCCGGTACCCACCCTCTTCCACACCCTTGTTCTGGCACCTTTCTCTCACCCTCTGGTTTAGGATGGTGCAGAACTCCCTTTCCCTTCTGTTAACACATTGACCACACATGTAGAGAAACCTCAGTACACCAACCACATTCCAAGCTGCCTTCCGCCGTCGCTCCCCGCCTGCCTCACCTGCCTGCCTCACCCTACCTCCTTAACTTTGTACTAGGCTGGCCTGGACCTGGACCAGCTCGGCTGTATTGATCTGTTTCATATTATTTATTATTTTGATTTTCTATTAAATTATTGGAATAAAGTTGAGCTGAGGGTCTGCTGCTGTCGGGTGAAGGGTACGAAGATAACTTGTGTGATGGGAATGCCTGGCTGTTAGCATGGGAGAAACATGAGCCCCTGCCCCAAGCCCTAGCCTGGGACTGGGACTGGGACTGGGACTGGGAAGGAAGGAGTCAGGGGTTAGGAGAGGGTTCAGAAGTTGTATTTCAGTGCTGGCTGAGCGAGCCACACCCTCCTGCCCCTCCCGTTGGAGAGGAGGTCCTGACCTTCACTCAAACTGTCCTGGAGTGCAGTGTCACTCCAGCCTGGAGCTGGAAGGGGACAACTTCTTTCAGGGGTCGGGTGCGAAGACAAAGTCAAGAGCTTGGCGTTCGGCCCCGGCCACATTGGGGTGCCAGAGGTCCACAATGAAGACCACTCGAGGTCCATCTTCAGGGGATCCTAGGACACACAAGGGTGGAGACAGCAGCTGATACAAGCACTTCTGTGCCAGGGCATTCACATCAGGTACAGAGGAGGGCAAACAGTGCCAGGCCCTAGCCGGTGTTGTTCTTGTGAGGCAGGGTGTCATCATGCAGCCCAGCTCTTGAACTCCCCAGCCTCCTGCGCACAGGTGCTGAGTTCATAGGTGAGTGCCAGCACATCTGGCATTGTTCTAACCCTTTATTTTGATAACCACCTAGGGAGCGCAGACAGTCTAGCTCATAGGCCTGTGCTGACAGCCACACCTCATGCAGTCACCTGGCAAGGAAGGCAGGTGCCCCTTAGGTGATGGGAAGAGCTGTGATTGGCCCAAGGCCGTGCAGCCCCAGAATGGTGCCTCTGAGACAACATGGCCGGAGCTCCTCAGCTCTGTGGTCCCGCCCAGCAGAACAGGAGCCCTCTTACCGTTATGAGCCACCGTGTGCAGGAAGGAGTCGTCCACCAGGAGGCAGTGCCCTTCAGCCCAGCACTGGGGCTCACCACCAACCACCAGCTCGCAGCCAGGGGGGATCTTCAGGCCTGTGAGGAGAGGACAGGCATCCAACACTCCCGTTCCAGGAGCCTGCCTACTCAGTGGGCCTCACGGGCCAAATTGTGGTCTTCTCAAAGGTGAGGGAGTATATTCACAATCGTCCTGTCTGAAGGACACAGACAGGCTGGAGAGTGCTGCTATGGGAAGTACATCTGTCGTTTGGAGAAAAGCTTCCCTGGGCAGTCTCCTTTCGGACTTTCTGTCAGTTCAGCCCAAGAGCCTTCTATGTGCTGGGCACTTCCAGCCTGACCCCAAAACCTCGGTCCAATGTGCTGAGAAAACTGTTGGCTCAGTTTTCTCAACATGACTAAGGCTGAAAGGCCAGCATGTGCATGCTGTCTGCAGGGAACAGCCAGAGAGCTCTAATGAGTCAGCGCGGGGGTTTGGACTTGATTCTGAGGCCCACGGGCCCCAAAGCACAAGACGCACCCAGCTGACAGCACACAGATTTGGGGTGAGCCAAAGTCATGGCATAGAAAAACAACCATGGCATTTGCTTCTTTCCCAATTTTCTTTCGATATTTAAAACATTAGAAAGAAAATGTTAATCCGGGTGCAGAGGTGCACGTCTGTAATCCTAGCACTTAGGAAGGCAGAGGCAGGCTGATCTCTCTGGTTCGAGGTCAGCCTGGTCTCCAGGCAGGTCCAGGACAGCCAAGGATACACAGAGAAACCCCTCTCCATAAACCAGTTACTTTCAGTGAGGGAGCCTAAATAAAGTAGGCCAAATGTGATGGCACACACCTTCAATCCCAGCACTCAGGAGGCAGGAGGAGGCAGGTCTCTGAGTTTGAGGCCAGCTGGTCTATATTTAGAGTGCCAGGCCAGGACTGCATAGTGAGACACCCTGTCTCAATAAACAAGGGGGGGCACAGGAGGGCTAGAGTATTTCACTATACTTCTTGAGACTAAATTAAAAAAAATAATAATAATATCAAGACCCAAGTTTTCTCAAACTTGGGGTCCTTGCCTCAGCCTCCCAGGTGCTGAGATTACACAGGCAAGCACGCTGTGCCTTCTTCAAGGGGAAGATTCTGAGAAGAGAGGCATGATGGGAACCATAGTGCAGAAAGACCCAATGGCAAAGAGGCGGGGAAGGAGGAAATGTGGAGACAAAGGTTTGTGGACAGGCTATACTCACCCAGATGGCATCTAACCCGAGCATTGGTGGGTCCACAGCGGCCTTCCAGCCGGGCCCCAGGCAGGAGAACAGAAAAGCCAGCATTGCCGAAGGTGTTGGCACTCATGAAGCTGCGCAGGCCCCTCAGAGCGCGATAGGCTCCCGGGCACCGCCGGCAGTTGCTGGGTTGGCACTTGCCCGCTTGGTATAGCAGGAGCTGGTAGCACCCAGGGGCCAGGGGTGGGGACCAGCCCCGAGGCAGAGGAGTCGTCCCTGAGAAATCCCAGCTTACAGCCCCAAAGTCCCGCAAAATGGCCGGGAAGCTGCTCTGTAGGAGCTCCACGTCATGCCTCTGGGCGTCACGTGGCACAAAGGGGGACGAAGGCAGGTCTGGCAGGAAAAGTAGGCCTGGGCGCTGAATGCCTAGGACCCCTGTCCCTCCTGCGGGGCCGGAGCCTCCCTGAGCTGCCCGCCTCACTCTGCCCATCCCAGCCCAGGAGTAGCGCCTGGCGTAGGCCCGAAGCCGCCGGCTCACTAGACCTTCTGCCCTGGGTCCTTCTCCAGGATCCCCAGAGCCCCTCGGGCCGGCCTGGGAGCACACATCAGGCATCCCGCCAACACCCCCAGGTCGGCTCCCAGACCCCAGGGCCTGCAGGTCCTGGGAGCCCAGGCGGTAGCAGTACCAAAGGAACAGAGAAGTGAGAGCTCCGAGGAGCACAGTGAGCGCTGAGGAGCCTAGGGGCAGCGGCCATGGCAACATGATGGGTAGAGAGGCCCTGGCCAGGAGGCCTCCTGCGTCTTCCAGACCCCAGCTCCCGGGCCCCCCCAGGTCTCCACCTGTCCCCTCCATGGCTGCTTCCTGGCTCCCTCCCTTCCACATGCCCACTCCTGTTCCCTCTTCTCCTGCAGGCTCCCCAGCAGACCTTTTCCCCTTCCCCCAGCCCTCTCTCCTCTTCCTTTTCCTTCTCTGTTTTGACTGTCTCCACTCTCAGATCGCTCTAGTTCTCTCTCTTCCTTCTCCTTCTCGCAGTCTCCTCTCCCTCTCCACCTTCAGTCTCCCACTGTCCCCTCGTCTCTCCTCCCTCCACTCCGCTCCTGCCTCCCTTTCCCTCTCTGCCCGGTCTTTGGGTCTCTTTCTTCCAGCTCCCCCTGACAGCAGGGGTCCCTTCTCCACCTGGCCCTCCTTTCTCCTTCCTCTTCCCTCTCTCCTTGTCCTGTCTTCTCCCTCGACCGGGTCGGATCCGTCCTCTCTGGTTCCCGGATCTCCCACACACCCCTTCCTGGGCTCCCACTCACCCTGACGTCACTCCTTCCCGCAGCCCTCTCTGCTTAGCTACCCGAGACCCTTCCCAGAGACAGCCGCAGCCCAGCCCCGGGGGGTAGGGGGGCGCTGGGGGAGGGGAGACCTCTCCCTAGATTCGCCTCCCTGGACTCCCACCCCCAACCGAGCGCCACGTGGGGTACAGGGGCACAGGGCCAACCTCCAGCCGCCCCGCAATGCGAAAAGAAGGGCGGGGCGGACCCGGGGGCGGGGCGATGAGGCCGGTGCTCTCGGTACTGCGAGTCGGGCCGTGGGCCTGCGGGTCCCTGGAGAGGTCGGCCTGGGACTCTCCTCTCCCCCGAAGCCAGCCTCGGGCTGGACGCGGGATGGCGAACGCGGCCCCAGCCAATCACGGGCCCCGAGGCCCGCCCGCGCGGGCGGAGCCGGGGAGCTGTCCGCGCGCCGTGGTGCTGAAAGGGCGCCCGCTCTCGGCGCCGGCCCAGCCGGGAGGTCGCCGGTGGCCGCCGTCAGACCGTGTGCAGAACGGGGAGGGGGTCCCGGCTCGCACCCCTCAGCCTCCTTACAAACGTGGACACGCCCCTTCCTCCTGGGGGAGGGTCGAGCCCATCCCACCTGAGCGTCGGTAAAGGGCACAGGGAAGGCCCTCGGGGAGGTCCGGGTGTGAGCAGAGGACATACTGGACAGACCGGGAGGGCGCGAACCAGGCTGTGCCACCCCCACCCCCACACCCGGCACCCTGGGAAGACCAGGTGCAGATTCCAGATGTGCTGGAATGGCGCCGGGAGGGAGCCTAATGACTGCTGGGACCAGAGTTTCCTCTCGCTCCCCTAGGGGCCTCGGAGTGCAGACTACGGTCCTGGCTCGGGATCCCTCCTTCCTCCGTCCGCACTTCCTCCTCCTCCTCCTCCCGCAGCGGAGAATAAATCCCAGGCCCCTCCCTTCGCCCGTCCCCAGGATCTGACGTGGGCTTGACACCTTTCTCAGCTTCTCCCTCCCGCAGCTCCAGTGGTCCAGCTTCGGCCTCCCTGGTTCCGCAACCCTTTCCCTCTTCCTCTCCGCGATAAGCCCCGGTAGAACGCCGTTAGGGCCCTCTGGATCCTCAAGCCCACCCTGGGCCCCCGGAAGCTGCCTTCTTCCTCCCACTTCCCCCGGAGGGCTATCCATCCATCCCGATGGACCCAAGCACCCGAACAAGGGGCTAACCTTCGGCCCTCTCGGCCCCACCCCCCCGCAGCGGGAGCCGCGCCCCCCTTTGCCGTAGATCGGAGAGCAAAGGATAAAGATTGAGCAAAAGGGGGCGGACTCCAAGCAACCCCTAGGCCAATTCCGCTCCTCCATCCCAAAGGGAGAAAAATTGTCTTCCTTTGCTGACCCTTAGCAGGAAAACAAAATTAGAGGAAAAGATAAAAGGACGCGGAGGGAAAAGTGGCAACTAGATTCTTGAGAAGAGCCACAGAGGAGAGAAATTAGGGTGAGTCGCCATGGGGACTCCCAAGGCCCAGCACCCGCCGCCTTCCCAGCTGCTGCTCCTAATTCTGCTGAGCTGTGCCTGGATTGAGGGTAAGGACACGTGAGGGTGGGCCCTGGGAAGGCCCTCGGGGTCTTTCACCTTCTTTCTCTGAGCAGACTGAGTCTTCCGAGCTTGTGGGGGAGGGGAGGGGCACAGTTGACTGCGAAGGGGCAAGCCAGGGCTTCTGCCTGGTACACCGGAGCCCTTGAACTCCTAATATTAAGGAGATGGGGAAATAAAGAAGGGGAGCTTTCCGTTGTGTCTTGGGGGTTAAATCCAGGAAGAGGAGCTGGAGGAAGTTGGGTGGATGTCTGCGGAGGCGGTAGAAGCAGTCAGGGTACCTGGGTGGGAGATGGAGGTGCTGGGAGAGACGCCAGGCGCTGCACACACAAATGTTCTCGGACATATGGACAAAGACAGATGGACACAAGTGGGGATATTGAATCCCTGACTCTACTGATCCCCAACCCGGCTCTAGAGTAGACAGCAGAGACTGCAAAGACTGCAGAGAGAGAGAGAGAGAGAGAGAGAGAGAGAGAGAGTCTGCAGAGGCAGAAGCCCCAGAGAAAGCTGGCACTGCGGAAGCAAGGTCTGGGGTGCTGTTAGACTCTCCTCAGAGTCCTGGGATCGGGGGAGCACTTCAGTGGGGAGGAATGGAAAGCAGTCCCAAAGCCCCGGTTCTGCACATCCTGCTAGAGCTGTCCAGGGTTAGTACTAGCTGAGGCTCTCACTGGAGGCCCAGAGACCGGGAACAGGGACTGATGACTGAAAGGGCAGATTGGAGCCATTCTTCCAGTCTTGGCTCTCAGCCCAGCCTGGGACCCTCTGAGTGTCTGCTAGGAAGTGCTCTGGGAAAGATCTCTCCAGATAAGGAGGGCATGGAAGGAAACGATTCACAGGCGTTCCCCCCTAGGTCTGCCCCTGAAGGAAGATGAGATGATGCCAGAGCCTGGAAGTGAGACTCCTACAGTATCCTCTGAGGACCTGGCTGAGCTGCTCCATGGGGCTTTGCTGCGGAAGGGCCCAGAGATTGGCTTCTTGCCGGGTGAGGCTCCCAAAGTGACATAAAAGTAGAAGGAGAAGCCAGGTCTCTGTGACATGGAGTGTCTGGCCCGGGGGAAGGCAGGTTGAGAGAGTTCAGGCAAATCAAGACCCCCAGGAAGCCAATGAAATTCAGAGGGGGCAAGTGAAAAGAGTCAAAGCTGGCCCTAGACAGAGCTAGAGATAAGAACAGGATGAACAGTCAAGAGAAGGTCATATGTATATATATATATATGTGACGTGAATTCAGAGAACCAGAGTCACAAAAATGGTGAGAGAAAAAAAAAACAAAACGATATACAACTAGCAGCCGATGCAGGATCATAAAACCAGACAGCAATAAGAATACTGAGCAGAGAAAAGCTCTGGAGAGAGCTAGACAGAGAAGAGAGAGAGGGGTAGGCAGGAGTGAGAGCCAGATTTGGGGGTGGGGAGAGGCTCAAGAGGGTTGTCAAGGCTGTGGTGGAAAAACAAAGGGAGCTTTGGCTGCAGAATCTTGAGAGAATGTGGGGGGCCTGTGTGAGTAAGGGGGAAATGGGAGCCGTGCCCTGTGAGGATGCTTGCGGTCTTGTTTCATTCTAAGCTGTTCCCTACCCCTATGGGCCAATTTGTTGCTCCTGTGCCCTGACTCCCCTCAAACTATCTCAGGATCTGACCCAGACCCCACACTAGCCACCCCTCCAGCCGGCCAGACTCTTGCAGCGCCCTCCCTGCCACGTGCCACTGAGCCAGGGACAGGGCCTCTGACAACAGCTGTCACCCCTAAGGGGGTCAGGGGGGCAGGCCCCACCGCACCAGAGCTGCTGACCCCGCCCCCTGGAACTACAGCCCCGCCCCCACCTGGCCCCGCCTCCCCGGTCCCACCCCTCAGGCCCGAGGGAGGAGAGGAGGAAACCACCACCACCATCATCACCACAACAACCGTCACCACTACTGTCACCAGCCCAGGTGAGGTGGTAGTAAGGGGATGGAAGAGCCCACGTGGGGGTGGATGGGCGGGGGGAGCCGCTTGGCTCGCGTGGAAGCAGGAGCTTTGGGTACAGGTCGCAGAGGGGCTTCTGCGGACTTCCATCCATACTGTAGTTGGGGAAGGAAAGCCTCAGGAGAGGCAGAAAAGGGGCACTGGATAAGGAGCGTGAGAGGTGCCGGGGAATCCAGGCGACCCCAGAAGGTGCTTGGCTGGTTGGGCAAGCACACAGGACCGCTCGGTCCCAGGCACTTCTATCTCTTTAGTTCTGTGCAGTAACAACATCTCGGAGGGGGAGGGGTTCGTGGAGTCTCCGGATTTGGGGAGCACCGCCAGCCACTCTGTGGAGCTCCTAGATTGCACCTACAGCATCCACGTCTACCCTGGCTATGGCATTGAGATTCAGGTAATTTTCTCTGGTACTCGTCGAGGGCGCCCAAGACTGGCCTGGGAATCGGTGAACCCGTTTTCTGACTGGGATGGTCCCGAGACTTCTAGAGTTCTGCAGCGTGGGTGGTTCCCCGGAGGCTGGCTCCCTGCTGACTTGGCCTGGCCTGCCTGTATCTGGCTTCCCTAGGTGCAGACTCTCAACCTGTCTCAGGAGGAGGAGCTCCTGGTGCTGGCCGGTGGGGGGGTCCCCAGGCCTGGCCCCCAGACTCCTGGCCAATTCCTCCATGCTGGGAGAAGGACAGGTCCTTCGGAGTCCGACAAACCGGCTGCTCCTGCACTTCCAGAGTCCTCGAGTCCCGAGGGGCAACGGCTTCAGGATTCACTATCAGGGTGAGGAGTCTGAAAGGCCACTGGAGGGACAAGAGCCACGCGGGCTAGAAGGGCTTAGAGCCCTTCTAACTCAGGGCACTGAGAGGATCTTCCTCCACCGTGGGACCCTGTGAGGGCAGGACCCTCAAAAGGCACACATGTATATTTTTCTCTCATATTCTTGGATCTGCAAATGGGGATGAATGAACCCAAGTAGAGATTCATTTATTCGGCTCAGTGAATTTTTACTGAGTACGTATTTCATACCAGGTTCTGTGTTTGCCTTGGGGCGGGGAAGGAATAAGCTTGCTGCCAGTCTGTCTGTAAGGAGCTGAGGATCTGATTAGAAACAGATAGGTAATGGGAATGGTGACGTCTGTGCAGTAAGGACTCTGATGGAGGGTGCTCAGGCGAGGGGAGCAGGCATCAAAAGGGACCAAATGTTTTCTAAGGAATCTAGGAACAGCTTCTTGGAGGAGGTGATGACTAAAGGGAGACCTACAGGAGGAGGGGGAGAGGAAGAAAGGGAAATAAGCAACTGTCTGATGGGTTGATGCCGAGTTCCGGAGAGGAGAGAAAATGTAACCCTCAGAAAGGTGAAACGCCTCAGCAGGGAAGGCAGAATGGTCCGCGCTGTGTCACCTGGGGTAGCATATTTTACCTTTCTGTGCCTCCTGGCTCCATCTGAAAACCGGAAGTTAGAATACTTTGCGGGGAGTGTTGCTAGGACGATCTAGTGAGGTGGTGCCTGAGGACGGGGGGGTCTGGGACACAGGGAGGCCTTGGAAATGTCAGTCAGCGCCACCACAGCCAAG